AATAATAAATAAATTCATATTTACTATATCCATATTAAATTCATTTTACAACGAAATCATAATTAATTTGCTGTAATTGTGTTACAACGCGGCTAGTAGTTTTGGTATAGATTTGTTGAAACAAGGTTGGACTGTATATAGTATTAATCCAATACTTTAATTCATGAATTGAGATTGGTTAGCCTTTGGCATTTTAATTGTTAATATTAATATCATCAAATTTATTATTAAATAAATTCATATTTACAAGTTTTAGTTCTAACCAACTCTTTATACACAATATTATTTATTGCTCATAAAAACCTTGATCATTTTTCACACCATAATAAAGTTTATATAAAATGTTCAGTTTTCACAAGTATACTCTTCTAATCATAGAATGTATATTAAATTAATATATCATTTTTTCATATCGCATTAATATTAATATAATAATAATAAATCAATTATTTATTTGTTTAAAATAAATGATAGTATAAAAGACATACATCTTAGTATTAGGAAGTAAAATGAACATAATTCTATAAATATTTAAATATAATATTTAGACATTTAATTTACCTTGGACATGCTAACAAATTTCTACATATACGAATATAAAATAAAATTTGACTTTAAGGCTGAGATTATTTTCAGTTTTATTGACAACTTGCTTTAAATTTTTTTTTAAAGCAGATACATATGACAAAGAAGTTATATATCAAATTTGGTGGCAATTGCTACACAGCAAGGGTATCAAACGAGGGTATGAAGACATTCAATTCGAAATTTTATTAATAAAAAATTGTGTAGATCACCGGAAATTTTTCGGAAAATAAACTTGCCCCTTGATTTTAGGACAAAACAAGCATTATGGAAATTGGTTGATGAAATTCTAAAAGCTTTTAATGATGATTTGCCAGAAAAATCTATTCTGTTCAAAGAAGCCACCCAATTGACAAGAGAGGGTTATCAACTCATGTTTACTTGTTATGATAAAGGAGTGAATCGACTTAAAAAAATTGTTGACCAAGATATAGATATGACTCAAATACGAAGTACTGTGGGAAGAAGAAAAAAAGAATTAGTGCCATTGGAGGTGAAATACCTTGGAAAATCAAAATCTAATTATGGTGAAGAGATGGAGGTTGAGACAAATCTAAATCAAGATGTTTCAATTAATGAAATAAATATAGCATCAGCATCTGAAGACCAAGTACTCTCTATAATAGAACCATACTTTTCGATGCAAAGCAATGAAGCAATTATGTCAAATAGTACCAAAAGGCATAGGCATGTGCATGTGCCCACACCTGAAGAATTGGAGCTTCTCAAGATATTAGACAATTATAAGGACTTTTTGCCTGCAGCTGTCATTGAAGATTTAGAAATAAAATTAAAACCTTATACTGATCATTGGAATAAAAAAAGAATACGAGGCCGTTGGTATGATAAGTATAAAAGAACCAAAAAAACTAAGTCATCTGATATTTCATCAAGTTTAATCACTATTGAAGACTTAGAAGATTGAAAATAATTATATTATGTTAATCTTAATCTTTATCATAATTATAATTAAAACTTACACTATATTATAAATTTAGTCTTTAATTCAAAAATTTTGTTGAATATAATATTTTCTTTTTCTTTATATATATATATTATCTTAATTACTGTTAAATCATCTAGTTTTTTATTATGATTTAAAACAATGAAAGATTACATAATTCGTGGTAACATGGTTGTGAAATTTAATTATAATTCATGGTAGTGCAACTGCAACAATTCATGGTATATATCATAAACTTTCAATTGATTACATCTAACAAAAATAAGTATTTTTTTGATTAATAATGTATTTATTTTTATTTTTGTAGTAAATATTAAGTTTTTATCATGCCAATTATCATGATGATGTATCTTTTTTTTGTTCAATAATTTGTATAAATTTTTATTTGTTCAATAACAGCAGCAGGCAAAAAATCTTCCTCGCCAATATATAAAATTTGTTATAACAAGAGTTCATTATAGCAAGGTTTGACTATATCCAAAAGTGTCAATGGTCCTGTTAAAAAACAGGTTATTGTCCATACTGATATAGCAATAAAAAATCTAATTGTAAAGCAAAATGATTTCCAAAAAAAGAAAATATAGATTAATATATATTAATATTAATATAAATGAAAAAAAAAATTTATTCACACAATAAAAAAAAAATTTTCTTTCGCTCAAATAATTAAAATCATGCCTTGAACAATTTAATAATAATAATAATAATAAAACAACTCCAATAATAATAACAACACTCACACCAACACCAACAATAATCACACCAATACTAATAATGATGATAATGTTAACATGGTAATGTTAATAAAAATGGTAACATAAATAATGTAAACAATAATAATGTAAATTTCATTAATAATATTAAATTTATTAATATATATTAATAATTTTGTCCAAATGTATCCACCAGGCTCTTGTGGGCGGGATAAATGTTTTTGGCGAGGAGGAGGGTAATTGAAAATATCAATTCACAATATCAACAATATCAGCAATAACAACAACAACAACAACAACAACAACAACAATAATATTAATAATATTATTAATAATAACAACAATAATATTAATAATAATAATAATATTTCCTCCTCTTCCTCTGAACAATTAAATTTTATTTATTTATTGGGTATTTGCTCAATTTTTTATTCTGTCGGGGGTCCTGATTTTTTCTCAATTTTTAATTTCTCTTCTATTGAACAAAATCTGTTCAATTTTTAATTTCTCTTCTATTGAACAAAATCTGTTCAATTTTTAATTTCTCTTCCATTGAACAAAATCTGTTCAATTTTTAATTTCATTCAATTTTATTTTTTTTATAAAATTATCATTTAATAAATTTTTATTTAATAAATAATTCATGAAATATTACAAATTTTGGTTTTTTTAATAATTAAATTTTACATGCATGACCAATGAGAACCTAAGCTATCAAACATACAACAAATTATAATTAAATTTGTTGCAATCACGCCAGAATTATAATTAAGTTTGTTGCTATTGCGTTACCACGAATTATTATTTCAATCGCGTTACCATGAATTATAATTAATTAATATTGAATTTGTTGCTATCGCGTTACCACGAATTATTATTTCAATCGCGTTACCATGAATTATAATTAATTAATATTAAGTTTGTTGCTATCGCGTTACCACGAATTATTGTTTCAGTCGCGTTACCATGAATTATAACTAATTAATATTAAGTTTGTTGCTATCGCGTTACCACGAATTATTGTTTCAATCCGTTACCATGAATTATAATTAATTAATATTAAATTTGTCGCTATCGCATTACCATGAATTATAATTAAATTTGTTGCAATCACATTACCACGAATTATTATCTCAATCGCGTTACCATGAATTATAATTATATTTGTTGCAATCACATTACTATGAATTATAATTAAATTTGTTGCAGTCGCGTTACCACAAATTATAATTAATTTTATTTCAATTGCATTATCATGAATTATAATTAAATTTGTTGCATCTTCATTTTTCATTTTCACTAATAAATTTAAATAGATATTAATATTAATATTAGATTTGTAAATTGTAAAAATCAAATAAAAAATGACAAATAAAAAAAATTTGTGATAAACAAAAATTAATCACCAGATTCTGCTAATGCTTAGTAATATATTATTACTTTATACCATTAATTGTAATAAAAATAATAATAATATTTAATAGTTGCATAACAATGGATGTCTTGATAGTCATATAACAATAACCGTTGATAAATATTTGATAAATAGATAAAACAACCATGAATAAATAAATACCTTTTAATTTATAACAATAACTAATACTAATTGATTTTCATGTAACAATTCTTTCCACCAGATCTAAAAAAATAATTAATAATTTTTGATGTTGTTACTTATACTATTAATTGTAATAATAATATTTTAACAGTTGCATAACAATGGATGTCTTGATAGTGTACCTTTCTGAATTGTGATTTTAACCAAGTATTGCATAACAATAACCCATTATTTAATTGTTGATAAATATTTGATAAAATATAAATGAATAAACCATCAATAAATAAATACCTTTTAATTTATAATAACTAATTTGATTTCCGCGTAACAATTCTTTCTGATCATACCACTAAATATGGTCGCATAACAATCCTTTCTAATTTGATTTCGTTTAACCATTAACCTTTGAAAAAGAAAATCATGCATTCCCTCCTAGATGAATTGAGATTTTTAATATTAATATCTCTCCTAGATAAATAAGTATATCAATATAAACAAATAATACTTTTATAATATAGTTACACATTTTTTTCCTATAATATCTATCACTTTACTACATAAATAGTAGGTTGTAAACTTGGTCCTTTTGATTTCTTTCTTTTAAAAAACTTTTGCTGAATCCAATCTGCATAAAATTCTTGACATGACTATTAAATTTCTACATATACGAATATAAAATTAAAATTTGACTTTAAGGCTGAGATTATTTTCGGTTTTATTAACAACTTGCTTCAAAAATTTTTTTAAAGCAGATACATATGACAAAGAAGTTATATATCAAATTTGGTGGCAATTGCTACACGACAAGGGTATCAAACGAGGGTATGAAGACATTCAATTCGAAATTTTATTAATAAAAAATTGTGTAGATCACCGGAAATTTTTCGGAAAATAAACTTGCCCCTTGATTTTAGGACATGTCACACGACTATTATTACTTATAAAATTAGGCTATCCAAAAAAGGCAAGAATCATCGTTATCCATAATATCGAGAGAATTTTATTATAAGTGACATATATGGATTTTTATCGAGATAAAATAATTATAGAAAATTTATCCATTAAACCCCTAAATCTGCTAAATCGAGACCCACTGTGTATTTTAACATTACACATTAATTTTTACAATTAATTTTTGAATTAACCCATGTTTGATTAACAGAAACATATGATCAAGGAAAATAATGTTCTTCCAGAAAACAAAAAAACCAAATGATCTGAAGCTTTACAGGAACTACTTCGAACTCGTCCTGATCTTAAAGGGAAATCAGTTTACTTTTTTTATAAAAATAACAAATTTATAGAAGGGATTTTGATTTATGATAAAGGAGAAAATATGTCATATGTATATGATCCAACAAGTGGAAATAAGTTTAATTCCTTTTTTTCAGTGATTAAATTCTTAAAAAGCAAGGTTTATTTAGTGGAGAAAGATCTGCAATTGCTACAATATTTTTAGAACCTGTTACTTCTAGTCCTAGTATTGCATCCATATTAAGACCATCCAGACAAATTCTTTACTGGAGTAACAATTCAACTGCAACCATTTTGTATGTTGCAACATCAATTAAAAATAAGATTAAATTAAATGGTAAGTTAGCTGGAACTGGATTGAGGGAAATTGAACAGGGCTTAGCATTAAATTTTTTTGGGAGTGAAGGAAGGGTAGAAAAAGATATGACTATCATTTGGAATGCAAATTTAATTTTATATGAAGTAAATGTATTGGGAAAATTTGTGAAAAATACTGATGTATTGTTTCCAGGAGTTTCAGCAAAAAGAACACTTGCAGAGATGGAAGAAGTTATCGAATATGTATTTGATGCAAAAATTTGTAGTGGAATATCTTTATAACTTAATAGCAGATTTTATTAAAATTGGTTTATTATGTAGGATTTGAAGAAGTGACACATATTCGAGGTCCACAACTTGTAAATAATAAACTTGGTCCTAACAACTCTCATGAACCCTTTGCATTCTTGGAAAATAAAGGAAAGCCTGATGAAATATATCACCATGTAGATTGTTGTCTTCTTGTAGATACAAAGGGTGCATGTGAAAATTGTAAAAAGTTAAAGAAAACTATGTTAAAAATACATGATAGATCTCTTGCTGGTACAAAATCTGTAAAAAATCCTTGGAGAAGCAAAGAAAAGTAAATTCTTCTTAATGGATATTGAAATGTGAATTATTAGTTTTAAAATTAACAAATTTTTTTATCTATTTTAATCAAAGGCTATTAAAAAATCCAATAAAATTATAGAAACATTGCAAGATCATCTGAAAAAGAAAGTGGAGGATGAAGAAGAGGGAGTGTCAGAAGAAATGGCAAATATTGTTGAAAAAGTTGCCACAGATATTTCAAACAGTACAACAGATATTTCATCGCTTAATCCCATTTTTCAAGAACTTATTCGTATACAATGTGGGAAATCAAAAGGAACAAGATATCACCCTATGTATGTCACTACAATAACTTAAAATAAAAAACATTACATTAATTATTTTCATCTTTTAGGTTCTTGCGATGGGCTATTTCTGTATACAGCCATGGAGGTAATGCAGCTTATAGTACTTTGAAGGGGATAATGTGTCTGCCATCAGTTTCAACCCTCAAGAGCTATATAAATGAATGTGAACAAAAGTCTGGTTGGCAAGATAAGACAGCATATCAAATGCTATGTAGTTTATCATTAGAAAATGTATGGGGTTATGGCCAATATGGATTTTTTTCTCATGATTCTTTCAAAATCCAAAAAGGTCAGTTTATGTTAGAAAAATTGAATGGTTTAAATATAAAGTGATTACTTATCTTATCCCTTATGCTGCAGATTTGTTGTAAGACACAAAGATTTTTATCATGCAGTTTTTACACATAATTTCCTAATTAAAAAATGA